GCCTTTTCTGGCAGGATAAGATGCCCAGGCTCCTGCCCCAAACCTGGAATCAGCTATTTCTACAAGGAATCCTGGTTCCTTTCCATGGGAAATTGTATGTAAAGACCACAGTCTGGGCACTAGGGGTAGAATCCCTCTTAAAATAGATTTGTAGTGCTCCTGTATGTTTGGACAACAACCTCATCCTCGTTGGCATCTCATTATTCTCGTTCTGTATAGGCCTCTGGTTCCACTTGGATATTCCCCCTTCCCTCTTATAACAGCCAGTGCTACTGTGATTCCTCACCTTTCCTCCAACTAGACTGGACCACCTCTCTCTACCCTTTCATCCTTCCCTTCTAAGCCAGACACCCTTGCTCATCTCTTGGCTTCTAAGACATGAGAGTGGGGAATACTTCTGTAATGTTGAAGAATAGTGGTACCCTTTTCTTCACAGACTATTTCTATTTTTTTATTTCTTGAAGGGAGTTAACCTCCTGTTTGCTATCCAGGGGTTTGGTAGACAAACTTAGTCTCCTTTCTTAACCCAGAACAACAGTGCTTTGAACCACCATGGAAACAGCCAGCCCAGTCACCAGAGCAGGGAAGCTTTATAAAACCAACAATCCTCTCAGGTGTGTGTGTTTCCTGGTAAGCATGGGTAGTTCCATGTTGAAATTTTTAACTAGAGTTTCCAAGTAACGAAAGTGTTGAGGAGTTAGTTTATCTTAATCATTTTTAGGGCACATACCCGTTTGAACACCTGATGAAAACTAAGGATCTACTCTCTAAAAAAATATACATATACACCGAAATTTATCAACAATTTCACGAGGACAATTTTTTGAGGACCTCTCAGGACCTCAAACTATCTTACAGAGTTTAAGTTGTTTGCACAACTGGGTCCCAATTTGCCTTGGCTTGTTGGAGGCAGCAGGATTTGGAGGTGGGGCAGGGGTCTGGACAGGATGGAACAGGGCTGGAACCAGGGTTCCAGTTTTAAATCTCTCTATTCAACACTATTCATTCTATGTTCTAGAGCAATGCTGTTTCTGGTTCCAGTTATGAACTATATGTTACCATTCCAGGACATTATACATGTAGAAATTGGGAGTAAGCTTTTAAAGACTTGGGATAATTCTTAGAACACAGAAAGCACTCAAAAATGTTGGCTGGTTTTAGGCAAAGAGAAGACTGTCAAAGAGCCATCAAAGGTGGCCATCCTGGGAGGGGGCATCAGGAACTAGGAAAAGACCACTAACATATCCTGGGTCTGGTATGCTCATGGAGCCTTCGACAAATTCTACCTGGTTTGATCTGCATTGAGGGTGCCTTAATGGATCATCTCGCACTTTCCACCTCTGGACAAGTCAGAAAGTGTCCAGAATAGTCCTCCACTAAAGGCCTGGGATGTAGCACTGGATCATCCTCTTCATCAGAGCCCTTATTTCTCACAATAACCTGTGAGGCAGCCCCTATGATACAATTGCTCAGAGAGGCTAAGTGATGACAGTAATAAAAAGAGTATCAGTAGCTGGTATTTATTGAGAACTTACGATGTTTAGTTCTCATGCTAATACTCTGTATGTATAAACTCATGTAATCCTTACAGCAACTCTAATGATGTAGGTATTGGTATCCCCATTTTACAGATGAGGGGACTAGGGTGCAGAGAAATTAAGTGACCTGCACCTGGTGGAGGTGACTCAGCTGGCAAGTGGCAGAGTTGGGATCAGGACACGGATTTATCTGCTACAAAGCCCGTGCTGTCAAGTACTATGCTATATTATATAAAGCACAATAATAGACTTCATAAAATCCACAACTATTTTATGCAGAGGCCCTTGTCCATCTTGCCAGGATGTTTCTGTAAATGTTGGGATGCTTTGCTTTAGCATTTAGTTTACCTGAATCTTTATAACTTGAAATCCACAGAACCTTTTTACAGTCTATACTCACACTAGGGAATCTCAGTAAGGAAAAGGATGTTTACTTGTCACCAGATAGTGTAGCTCTGAGGCACAAGAATCCTACGAGAGTTGGGAGAACAGGACAAAACTGAGGATGAAGGCAGGGTTTTCATGTAGACACAGAGATCCCTGAGGCTCTGATTTACTTGACATTTATGAAGTAAAATCCAACATGTTGTTTATGGCTGATTTGAAGCCCATGTCCTACCACATTTTATGATTCCAAACGAACAAAGTAGAGAATAGTTCCCAAAGGAAAACTGAACAGGTGTTTTTGGGCTACAGGACATCTATTTAGTTATATGGTGAAGGCTATCTGTTTGATGGTGAAATCATTAAGTTGCCTAGGGTCATGGGTTGGAGCGTGCTTTAATGGTTTCTAAGAGAAATCAAGAATGCCTTTTCTTCCCAAAACATCCTTTTGTAAACATGTCCTTGACACTGAGGGCGTTGACTAACTCAGAGAAATGCTCCTGTCACTACTGCCAGAGGACCTCTGGGCAATGTGAGCAGAGCCCTGGACTGGCAGAGGCTTGTGGGTATTTAGGCCAGAACACAGCCGCATAGACAGAGACATGGTTTTCTGATGGTAATGACAATGGCACACACGTTTATCTCTGGAAACTGTTAGTTCTCACATCTTGAGAGGGTCATAGCCCTAGAGACCAGAGTGAGTTGTAAGCTTTTGACAAGAAAATCTCTTGAAACTCTTTATTAACATCCTTATCTTGGCCTTGCCAAGGGGAACCTCCAAGTTCAGGCCAGTTCTCAAACTCCTTCCGAACTTCTCTGGAGATAGTCTAACTGTACATTAGTTTGAAATAAAATCAATAAAAGCGAGACTTGAACAACGTGTACATTGAAAGTCTTGTAATATATGCTTCCATAGTAATTTTTAAAAAGTGGGTGCATATCAGTCATCTGCTTTTAAAATTCTGAATCTCTGTGACCTCAGGCATCTTGTACAGCTCTAGCACATGGTATGAACTCAAGAAATATTTGTGAAATAAATGCTGTTAAATGACCTCTTATCTGGTCCTAACGAAATTCAAAAATAAAAATTTCATTGATATTTTTTTTTTGGTTAACATGAATCAGTTGTGTGCTTCGAGGATCCAGCATTCCTGCCATATAGGCCCTGTTGAATATGTAGTATCTACTATTCATTCACTCATTCTGAAGATATTTAATGTGTATCTTTAACATTCTGGGCTTACTGAATTACCAATTCATTCAACTGTTATAAAACCCTGGAGAAAAGTATGGAAATGAATATGGTTCCATGCTTTGTTTGTATTTTATTCAAATATGTCTTGTGTTTTTAAGTGGTGCTAAAATGTTGCGATTGGATATGCTAAAACATGGCTAATTTAAAAAGCCTAATTTAAATTCCCATTTAAAGTGAATGAGCACTAAAGTCTTAGCAATCCTGCAAGTGGGTTGTTGTGTATTAGTCTTTGGGCTTGCTTTTAGATTGTGTGATTCTCATAGGATCTCAACCTTGGGGGCCTTTCCAGTTGTCTTTAGTTTAGTTTTGAAAATTCTCTGAAGCAGTATGAATTTACGTAGGGTGACTATATAATTTATTACCCTCACTGGGGCAGTTTTGGGAGTGAATGAGATACCATTAATTATTATGCCAGTACAATAGGTATAAATGGGATTCTCTCAGGCAAATAGGGTCATATGGTCATCCTAGGAATGGACATGGGTTGAAGGACCAGGAGTCGTCACATACTGACTGCCTTATCATACGCATGTCACTTCCCCTTTCCGGGTTTCAGTTTATTCAAATGAAAAGTAAAAGGGGTATACTAAAACAAACCCTATTGTTTCCTTAAAATTCCACCATTCTATGATTACAAGCAGACTCAAAGGGAAGAGTCTCATATTTTTGGAACAAGCTTCAAACTAAGAGGCAGCTGGGTAGACAAGCACATAAATCCTCCTCTCCCCTTTTTAAAACTACATGGTTACAAAAGCTTATATCATATGTTAAATAAATCAGCACTTGCTTACTTCAGGGTTGGCAAAAATTTCATCTTCACTACCTGAAGCATTGTGTTGAGAAGGATTCTGAGGACACATCTGGGCTCAGCGAGAAAAAGGACCTTGATCAATTAGTGGTGGCGTCTGGGGTCATGGGAATGGGAGATAGAGGCAGGGAGGATGGGAAGGGCTACAGGATGTGTGTGTGTGCCCATCCTCTACCATAACTGGCCTAAAGTCTCTGGTGTTAAAATACAAAACAAAAACATCTTCTCATATTTAGGGTAAATCTGCCCCATCTTGATAGCTAACATTGTGTTAGTTTCACCCAGAGATTTTCTCCTCCTCCTTGCTCTCAGTGTCTTTTCATAAGCACTCAAGTAGTGGCGTACAAGCGAGGGTCCTCAACCCTGGCTGCATGTTAGAATCACGTAGGATCTCTGTGGGTGAGACCCAGGCTTCACTGGTTTTAACAACTGCCCCCTCCCCTGCCCCAACAGACCCACAACTAGGGGATTCTACTGTGCACCTAGGATAAAGAACCTCTGGCACAGAGGCTGGGTGGGAGTCGGGGCATCTAGATCTCAGTCCTTCTTCTTTATTAAGGCTGTGTGACCTTGGATATACTGCTTAGCTTATCTTAGTTTGTAAAATGAATTTGGACTCTCAGGTATTTTCTAGCTCTAACTTTCTGTGACTAAAAAATGAGGGGTGAAGAACATCACTCTGTGTTAACTCAGACGATATAGATATCCTCCTCTTCGTAAATTCAAGGAAAGCTGACTTTGTTGTCAGTGAGATAAATCTGCAGTAAATGATCAGGAGACAAATACATATCACTCTTCCATGCAGGAACAATCACAACTTCTTAAAAGAGGAAGCTAAGTTATACAATACCGTTGATAGAATCCTTTTTCTAGGTTGTTCTCTCAAATGACTTCTTTTAAACACTAGAAATCCGTGGACATAATTTACTACTTCCAATACATATCTTAGTTGCTTGCGCCTCTGACTTGAGCAGCTCTTTCAGGATTCCCACTACTTAGTAATTCGACATCTTACCTGAGTGACAGCAACATTTGTTCCATCGGTGACTTCCACGCTCATGTTATAGATGGACCTCTGCTCCGCATCCAAAGGTTTTGCAATGACAATAGTCCCAACACCCTTCTCTGCGTCAAAAGAGCTGTCAAAATTCCCCCCTGACGATTTCACAAAAACAACATGAAATTAGCATATCTGAGAAGTTATTATGTGTATTGAAGCATATCGCTTTAAAGGGAGCTCTTATATAGAAATATTTTTTGACAGGCATCCCTATGGCTCAATTTTGTACATCTTAAATGGGACTTATTTATTTCTAAGTTAATTCATATTTCAAAACACAGCCTCTACAATGCATAACAAATGTCACAAAAAAAGAATGTATCAAACCTCAGCACTAATGTTGGAGTACTGAAGCATAAACTGACTCCATAAAATATTTAGAAAGCTGAAGGCCCTTCAACCCCTTGTGACTTCCATGCTAGGAATCTATAGACCCTTTTGCTTTTCCAAAGTAGATTAAATTCTAAGTAAACAAATAGTCCAATTATTATTAACAAAAATGAGTATATACTCTTAAATCTATTCCAGGATTGATGGTAAACATTTGGTTGGTAGAGTTCATATTCCCTCAATTAGATGTCAGAAATAAAATTATAAATACTAGAAAATAAAAAAAATAAAAAAATTGAATTTCACATTAAAAATTCTATATCTGCAAATTGGGATATATATATATATATCCATATATAGAATTTTTTTTTTTTGTCATCTTGACAGTGTGAATTATATTTTCTCCCAAAAGGAGAGGGTTTATGGGAGATTTACAAAATAAAATCTGGAAAGAAGTAGAGGAAAATATCAGCTTATATAACATCAACTTAAATTAATATACAAGTTTAGAAAACTTTACTTTTCACACCCTGGACCAGGTATGATTCACGATGTGTGAATAATGTGCTTAAGACAACATAGGCCTTGTTGAAATTACAGTAGATGTTTCCATCTTTGTGAACCAAAGTGCACTTTATGATCTTTCCAAAAATGAAAGATTTTTTAACTGGGAGAGAAGATAGTGGTATAAATGCTGGAATGATTTTAATTAAATATCAGTATATGTTCACAAGCTATTTATTTGATTCTGAAATTTCATGATCTTAATTAATTTTGTTCTTGGACATTAATTTTATTTAATTATAGCACATAGGGCAATGCAATTATTGAATTTCATATTTTAGAAAAGAAATCTTGGCTTCTCTTACATTCAACGTTTCTTTGCATTTGATTTTGCTGATCAATCAATAATACCATATACCATTTCTATGATACTACAATTACAAATGGGCAGATGAGTTAAGAGAAAGGAGAATTTTACCTGAATTACTAGAATTTGACATATAGTGACACAAAATAAATAATATGGTTTACTTCAAAAAAAATATGGTCATATATATTTCAAATACTTATTGCTTGCAGCTGTCATATACACTTAAGATAATTTAATTGCTAGAGAGAACATAATTGCCCTTGACATTTAATTAAAGTTATGGAGGTACCGGGGTACCAGAGAATTGCTTGGAAATGATATATTTTTCAAAAACTTCATCTAAAAAGAGACTCATCTTCCAATTAATATCTTTAATTGATTTACTGAGGAGTGCTAAATGTTAACTCCAAAAAAGGTCTTTTGAAGAACAGGATAAGGAGAAATGGGAGGAAATCTGGGCTGAAAGGGAACAAGCCTTAGGTCACCATGTCTCTTTCACAGGGAATGTTTCATTTTAATAACCACATGAAATAAATGATTCAAGTGCTTGAATAACCATCCTAATGAGCAAAGGAAAATTACTTGCTATCAAGTGGTACATTCTGGAAAAAAACTGCCATGGAAACTTTCAAAGAAAGAACATGAAATCACCTAAGACCTCTGTAGAAGGAAAGATGAGAACGCAACTTCTCAAGCCGTTTCTGGTGGGTATGAAATCATATTTTAAATCACACTTAAAATCATCTTTAGAATGTGTTCCTAACCAAGATATTTACTTTCTTAAATCTGAGGGCCGTCATTTTTTTGGGGGGGGGGTGGAGGTAGGGAAAGAACTCATCTTTCAACGTCAATTATTTTAGAAGGTGAAAATTTGTAGGTCAAGGCAAAATAGAAATTATGCAAATTAAAAAACTTTGGTTTGCTCCAGTTTAAAGATGAACAAAAATGAAATTTAGAGAACAGGCAAGCAAAGTCTTCCAGTTTCAGTTACTGTTTCAATATTGCAATCCTATATGCTATTTCTCGCTGCCTGACACTCCTATTTACCCCAGGGCCCTAAATAGAAATACATAATCATTTCGTGTGCTTAGTGGCATAAAATAGACATATTTTACACATGGCATATAGAGTGTGTGCTTTCTTATTAGTCATTTTTCATATCAAAAACATCTTTGGCTACTTTTATGGTTGTAATTTTTTATGGTTCTCTCTCTTCCTGCACGTGTGCTTGTGTGTATCTCCCTCATTCACCTTTCCTGTTTCAAAGATTCTAGTCCAGAAACTTCTAAAGTAGGGAGATAGACAAAGAGAAAGCAGATCAAGGAGTGCATGAGAGAGCCTGCAAAGCGTCTCTCAGTCCATCAGCATGGCCAGCAGCCTCAGATACTCACTTCTAGGGCATTTGCTCCTAGTTAAACCAACATTTCGTGTAAAACAAGGCTCCCAAAATCTTCCCTGAGTTTTAAAATGAATTTCTGACAAGGGACACAGAATCTAGACCAGCAGTTCACCATCAACCCTCAGGCAATATAATAACCTACCACTTAAGCATCCCATTTCATAAATGACTCCATATCTCTCCCCCAGGGCTCATTTTTCAGGCTCCCTTTTAGCCTGAAAGGTGATTTCATTTCATAGGAAACCATGTCCAATTCATCTGGGGTGAGAATATCAAATGGAAGGAGTCCATTTTCACTAGCGGCTTTCTGTTTAAACAAGATGTGCTTCCTCAGAGCCAGTAACACAACATGCAAAGCCAGAGTATGTTGGTGCAGCAGCATTAGGCTAAACAAAAGGTGGGGAAGAGGGAGGACACCGCCGAGCTGGTCTGAGTTTCAACAAAGTGGGAAATTAGAAAAGTCACAGCCTGAGCGTTGCTGCAGGGGTGTGCGGCAGAGATGGTTAAAAGCGAGGTTGTGAACAGCCCACATAACAGATAATTCATGTCAGGGACATTTCTCTGTGACCTTTTTCGGTCAAGACCGGCGTAATAGTGTAAACACAGAGAAGAGGGAGATTGGATTTCTATTGGGTTCTGAAGTTAAACATAGCAAATTGGAATGTCCTAAAAAGCTTTAAAAATGGGACAAGAGTAAAAATACATTGAGCCAGCAGTTACTGCTGGAATGTGCTGGGCAGCAGAGTGTTGGGTCACAATTTAGTCAAATTTTTCTGTAAAGAGGGTACAAAGCATCACCATCTCTCCATGAAGAGATCCAATGGTGAATATCACACTACTTCTCCTTTCAAGAGGCTTCCAGGCCCCACTCCTAGCATATGATTCAATCCCATTCTATGTGTAATTGTAAAAATATCAACCAAAATCTAGTAGTCACCAGGGGGGAAGTGTTATGTGAGAAGCTTCCAAAACACTGAGCTGATGAATCTCAATGCATTAAGGGAGTCGTTCACAAGCTGTTCATTCACGTTCAGCATGTATACCGAACTTAAGGAAAAATGCTAAAAACTAGTTACGGTTTGATTATGAATAATTTTCTGCCTTGGAATGAAGCAAGCACAGTACAGGGCTGAAAAGGATATAAACATGGAAGGCAGGAGACGTGGGGTGGAGATCAGGAAACAGTGGCAGCAAGGAAAATCCTTAATAGAATCTGGTTTAAAATCCATTTTCTTAAAACTATTAATATACAAAGTGTTGTATAGGCTTTTTACTATTTTCCTAAAGTCTCTTCAGATGTGCTCCTACGGACTGTATTGGGAGGCCTGTTTGGGACCAAATTAGGAATGAAGTGCAGAATAGGAGAAACGAGATGTTTGATGTCACACAAACGACTTGAGCAAGCGTCACCCCGATGGAGGAACAGCTGTATTAGAAATGGTATACAGACACGGCTTCTCTCAGGAGGGATGGATAAGAGTTTTGTAATGAAGAAATATGGCCACTTGGTTAGAGAAGACCCAGAGATGTCCAAGCTCTAATGAGAGAACAGGGCTGCTGCTGGTGCTATCAAAGGCTTTAACTTGCCTACTTGATCCAACCTTAATAAGGGATGGCTCCATTGAGGACAAGATTCAAGAAGGACAGGTATAAGTTTATGAGACAGAAGCAGCCAGGAACCCAAAGTCTGCAGGAATCTACGACAAACTAAGGGTCAAGGTCGTCTTTATGTACCTGCAACACAGGAAGGTATTTCAGCGAGAGTTGGACCTATGTGCCAGCTTGCACCACCAGAGAATTATTTTCGAAGAACAGCCTTTCTCCTCCCCATACATTGGGTGAGGGAAATAAACAAGGATATTTTAAGTGCTTATCATCTACAAGAAAAACCATTTTTCTAGTCTAAGTCAGGTGAAAAGCTAGAAAATTGGGTGGCAGGATCCCTCATGAAACTGTGGGTAAAAAGGAATTGTTTGACATGTGTAATAATGGTGGTCTTTACCATACAAATATTTGCCATTGGGATAAAGATAGGGGGACCAAACTGTGAACCAGACTGCATGCACGTTAGAGAGTATATAAATCAAGGAGCTGCTGAGCTGAAATCATAGTCTCCTGAGAAGTGTGAAGATATGTGGGAAAACCACAAAGGATTACGGGTTATGTTTTTTCCCTTCATTTTCTTTCCCTTTTAACACAGAGGAGGAACATGCTGTGCGTTGGGCTGTTTAAACACAGAACAGCTGAACTTGATTAGGTTTCCTTTTAATTACAGCTTTCTTAACTCGGTTACAAGTAGGGCTTCTGTTTCTGGAAGCTAAGGAGAGTCTAGCTACGTAACATCGTAAGCAGTGGTCTCTTCGGTGGCACAAGCAAGTGACTGGCAGATTCTTGGTTTCAGGGTCCAGACTTAGGAACAAAATCTTGCTCACCACACAGTTTTCGTGAATTCATATTATGGTGGGAGGAAAAGAAATGCAGTTAAACAAGAATTGGGTAGATTTGGAAATATGGAAATGAGGAGACTATACGCTCATGGGAAACAGCATGCTGAAATACTATTTCTGCTGACTTAGTGAGAATTCATTTATTATAGCACTTGTCAGCTGTAAGTGCTAGGCCAGGATGTTGTATGCTGTGTAACCCTGAGTGTCTGTACAGGCTTCTGAATGCACTAGGTCTATAATGGAATCAAATACTGACTCCTCGTGGAAGATGCATAAGAATATTTTCCCAGGCAAGACCTACACTTAAACCTGAGACCTCATTTCAGATCCATGCCGACGTTACATGCCTCATGTCTATTCTCAGCATTCAACTATAGTACACTGCTAAGTTTTTTAAGCATTGAGAAGCATTATTCTCTTTCTTTTCCCTCTCTATTTGCTTGGCCAGGGAAGATGCTTAGGTAAGGAGGAAGGGAAGAGAGAGAGGCGAGTTTCGATGGCCGAGGATAAATAAGCAAGAAATGATGAAAGTGAGAATGAAACATCTGACTATGATAAAGAAAACACTAGGTTTTTAGACAAAGGGAAAGATGTTGTCAGCAGATTGAAAAAAAATGACTTTGTTAGATTAGAAAAGATTTTCAAAAGGGGATTTTGGTAGAAGGGGGACCATACTGATACTGAAAGCAACCAGCACCAGGGGAAAAGATTTTACTTTCACGGTGAAATAAAGAGTTGGCGTTTCAAGATGTTGCTGGCTGGATGCGGGGATGGAAACAAAATCATGTTCTGTTTGGGAATCTAGCTCAGTAAGTTCGATTTGTAGGAGAAGCTCAGCTAGATGTTACCAGATCTACAGAGAAATCTCTGTGATGGAAGTATCGCAGACCAGAGGTCCTCATTAAGAGAACTACTTGGCAGACTGAAACAGAGAGGATTCTACAGGAAGAGTATAGCATTTAGAAACAAAGATGGAGAAACATGAAAACTAGTGCTACGTTTTTGATAATGATTCCTGGATGTATATTTGGAGTAGTCTAAAGGGACTCCTTCCATGGAGGGCTCTTATCTATAAACCGCCCCTCTCTTCTTAGACTAGTTCTCATTTTGTCAAAGGTGCTCTGGTTGCTATGGCTGGGAATACAGTGGAAGGTCACACTGACTCTGGTTTAGTCTCAGGAGGTATCAACAGGGTTAAGGCATTGGCTGCCTGGGGCATCTCCATCGGTCACCATCATTTATTCCACTCACCCTAGGTAGGGAGCAACAGAAGCACTGGGAGGAGGAAGGGATGAGGAGGCATGGGCCTTGACTTTAAGGGTTAAGAATGAAAATAAGATAAACACAAATGAAAATATCCAAGAGCACTGATAATGCTGACATGAAAAATGTGCAAGTAAGGTTACATGCAGCACCACTAAGCATATTTACCTACACACAATCATACACACACACATGCAGGAATGCTGAGGAATTGCAAAATTGACTTCGATAACTGGCGTCAGATGGCTGGTCAGACTGAGCATAAGAGAAAGGTGTGCTTATAGGATTTTTGAAGTGGCGTACAAGCAAGGGTATCCTGGGGTGGATGGGAGTGGTAGTGGGATGTGCTGCAGGTCAGGAGGTTGTGTGCATGGATCATGCAATGGAGGGAAGCAGTGCTGTTGAGCTACAGAGGTGTTTGCAAACTGGAGTGCTGGGTAGGAGGGAGATAAACTGGTGGCTGATGAGAGAGGGCAACCCATTCCTACTGCTCAGGATAGCACATGGAGTCCTGTTGCCTGTTGGCTTTTGACTGCACTCTTCTTTGGGCTATTTAAAAGAAGTCACTATTGCACATGCCCCTGGAGGCCCAGCACCAGGGACACATATTGAAACTGAGATGCATCTTCTATGACTCCGATTGGGGGTGGTAGTGAAGGAATCACCAAAGGTGATATCACAGACAACTAGGCAATGCATATGTCTAACCCTTTGTTTCACCAGGAAAGAAGATGCTGCATCAGTTAGTAACTTAATGAGCTGAAAATTACTGAGAAGATACAGAAGCGGAGACATCTTTCATGGATCAGAAGAGGTTCTATTTCAAATGCGTTAAGTGGTGACATAGAAGGAGTTGAAAGCTTGGAATGAGGATGTCATGTACAGGGATGGTGTGATTAATGCCAATTAAGCAAAACAAAGATGTTCTACTGTCATTCCATAAAATGAAATATGTAGGAAACAAGCCCTTTCTTTTTGGGAGTTCAGAGGACCCTCTACTGAGGTTTGATTGGGGCCCATGTGGTAATCTTTCTCTATGCCTCATTAAAACAGATGTGAATGTTCTAAATGCTTCCCCCAGATCCAGCCATGCCTGGGAAGAGAGGCAGGTTCCTGCCCACCCCATCCAGTCAGTGACATGAGGAAGGAAATGATTCCCCCAGACCAGCTCTCTGGGTTCCCTGCCTCCCACGGAGAAGCGTGGGAAGTCAGCTCCTGCTGAACCCAGTGTCGGATCCGGGGCTGGCACACTTTCCCCTCTCTCCTCTTAGCAAAAGCCCGTTTTGTTTCCCGGTCCTCAGCACTTATTTCCTCTCCACCGCCTCTCCCTGCCAGTTTGTGGAGGGCAGGAGAGCTGTTTGATCCTCTCCTCTTGCAGCCTGGTGTGCTTGCTTGCTTGCTTTCAAGGAATTTAAAGGTTGGCTCCCAAGGTCTATCCTGCATGCTTCCATCTGCTTTCTCTATTCAGCTCGTGTGGGAAGCTCTCAGTGGCTATACATCTAGGTTCGATTTCCTGCCCTTCCTTTTGTGGACAGCAGCCAGGGGACTCTTCCTGGGGGGCTTTTTGGTCTATGAATGGCACGACTGCTGCAAAACAGAGGGTTGGGATATATTTGAATTTATTTTTCAGTTGGAAAAGACCCAGTTAAATAACCAACCTATCAAAAGATAAAAACAAAACAAGAAGCCCACATACCTCAAAAGCAAAGAAAAAAAACTAAAATTAATTAAAACACCCCCCTTCCCCCTCCAAATCCAAACCCCATCAAACCTCGAACAAAGGAGTCACTGGATACCAGTAAGGCAATAGCTGTTAGAGGCATGTATGAAATCTGTGGGCTGCACTTCAGCCTGTCACCGGCAGTTATGCAAGATGTAATTTAATTTGTTTAAAAAAAAACCGTAAAAGGCAGCTTGGATAGCTGTATTTTAGCAAATGTGTTTGCACTAAGGGTACCTTCTGTTGAACAGTTCTGCCCACAAGCTGTCTGTAGAATATAGAACATCTCTCGAGCATGCTTGCCACCTTGAAGCAGGGCAGTCGGGAGCAGAAAAAAAAAAAGAACAGAATGCAGAAAAAAGGTGAAGAAAAAGAGAGAAATGAAGGACAGCAAGTCTAGTACCATCAATACATTTAGAAATGAGATTAGCCAAGTGTGACAATAGAATTTAAATGACACACAGAGAGACATTAAGATTGCAGTAAATAACATACTATGGAAAATCCAGCCAGAGAGCACTTTCTGCTCAGCTTAGCTACACAGTTGGAACGAAAGCACAGGTCGATTATTCATTTTACTGGCTCTTTTGCATTCCAGCGCTGTACATTTTTTAATCTTAGCACTAATCGTTAGCAGGTTTGTTTTTTTTTTTTTGCTAGTTGCTCCAAACAGTCAATGATTACATTGCTCAATACTTCTCTAGAGGACTCAAACTTACCAACTATGTCAAACCACAGAGGCGTGTTAGCTGGCTGCACAGATACCACCCCCACAATCTCCGTGACTCTATCGCTTTCCATGACTGTGAAGTTATAAAACGGCTCATCGAAGGTCAACGGTATAGGTGACGGGGGTGGTTTCTTAATCCACTCAATGTGGAGGCGGGCCGTGGAGGATTTCTGTGGGCGCCCATTGTCCACCGCCTTTATCTACTCACACACGGAGAGAACACAGAAAGATGTCTTAGAGTTTGGATCCTTGCGCAAGTTTAGATCTGTCACTCACATGTCATTAGGCCGAGAGCCCATCCTCGTCACCGTGGCAGCAAGGGGAAGAAGAGAATGGAGATCTGGGAGAATGGACCCGGGAATTGGGGGAAACGACTTAGTCACATAGGGGCCCCACACCACACTTGCCAGAAGGTGATTTGAACCACTGCCAACCTTACAGATGTGGAAAACTTGAAAAACAAATGTTGCACTTACAATTTTTAGTGTTTTATGGTCATGAATGATAGTTATATGAGTAGGAATAGCCAATTTGATTCCTTATACCTCTGGTGGTGATGCTTGAAAGGGAATAAAGTGCATTGTAAATCTTTACTTAAGTGTGAATGATGTGTGTGTGTGAGAGTGTGAGAGAGAGAGAGAGTGTGGTCGGGTTTGCATCTCCTTTCCTCTCCTTTATCCTGGAGAAGCACTCCACTCACACAGAATCCCAGAAGGCTGATGGGAGTTGGTGTGGGAAAGGCAGCAGCCTTGCTCTAACCACCTTAGAGGCCCTTCAGTTATGCGAGCTCTGAGGGGTTGAAGGAGAGCTCTCTTGGTGGAAGCAGGGAATCCTGGAGACAGCAGGGTGAGGAGGAGGGTGCTCAGGTCTCTTCTCCATGGTCTGATAGAAGGGCTGAGGAAAGCATATCCCGTCACTCAGCTGAGCAGGGTGAATTGTAATGATGTACTGCACTTAAATGAGGGCATCAAGTCCAACAAGCAGAAACAACAAGCAGAAATAGAAAATTAAATAGAAAATTAAAAAATCAAAATTTTAAAAAAGAAGTTTTAACTATTACATTAAAAATAACATTTATAGGTGCAGGGCTAATAGTTATAGCCTTTAAAAACAGTGACAACTCATAGCACCCTAATGCTATGTGCTAATAGTTGGTCACTTTGCCCCAGAAAATTCCTGTGAGAAGACAGACTCTGAAGGATAGATGTCTTAGATAAGGTTTCTTAGCCTGAGACAGGGATTTGAATACAAATGATTTTGATTGGGGGTGGGAGGTCGGGGGTGGGGTAGTGTTCTCAGGAGAAAGGGAATGAAGAAAGCAGGATGGCCAGGGGAAGATGCTAAGCAAGGATATGGTCTCAGCTGAAGTCTAACCTCTGCCTGATCCCATGGGGAGCTCAGTGTCATTAATTGCACCACAGAATTGGATCTACCTGGAGGCAAGGGGGTTGGACTTCTGTATCTGGTGTCAGTCAGTCATTGGCTGTGGGCTGCTGGGTTGGATCGGGAGTGTGGAACCTCTTGGGCCAAGAAGTTCAGCCAAGGACAACTCTCTGAGGAAGGGGGCAGCTATGAGCCTTTAGCAGTTGAGGGCTAGTGGCACCAGTCTGGCACAGGGGATCTGGTGAGGCATAACAGTATCCACTATAATCCATCCAGTCCTCAAAGATTCCCGTTGGTAAGTCTCACACAGCTGTAATAGCACATGTTACATCAGAGCTTCTAATAGCAGAAACAGGGCTAGTTTTTTACTATCTTCTTTTTCTCAGCCTACTTTTCTGGATACACTGCTGAGCAGGGAAAGGAACCCAAGTCCAGATCATAGGAGTGAAAAGATAAATCAAGGGACTCAGACCATCCCTTTAAAATAATAAAGGATTGACTGTATATAGCAGAGAAGGCTGAGGACTAAGAGAAGGATGGCCGATGGCTCTAACTCTTGACATTTGTTGGGACCTGGAAAGTGCCCATCACTTGTAAGGATGACCAGTCCCGTTTCTGGCATAGGTGGTACATGTCTAAAGTGGTTGGGGGTGGGGGGAACCCCATATATAACTCCCTTAGATATGGGAGTTTAAGTCTTTATTTGAGATGGTGCTCATGTTTGTTTTTATTTTTACTTTTATAACAATGAAAAATTTAGTCACTTTTTACTTGAGATGTTTTCTTTTTTACAGGGTAAACATAGCTGTGATGTGTGTCTCGCAATCTACACAGCTAAATTCATGTTCTATCCCATTGTCAAGAATTACAAAAGTTGTTTTCTTTGGGAAGTCTTGGGGACACATTGAGTGATATGTTCAGTTTACACCTATGCTCAGTACCTTGAAATGATTTAGGGCCACAGGAAGAGTGATTGAGTACGTGACAGAGCAGGCTGTGGACTGGGAATGGGGAAGTTTGCTGATAGGACCCAACCAAAGGAAACGGTCTCATTATTTAAGAATATCACTGAAACAGAAAGTAGCCTTCCACAGCCATATGGCTGCACTTTTTACTCTAAATATTTATTGTTTAAAGGAATATACACAAATAAGAAAGTAACTCCTTCCCCCCGTTAATGTTATTGAGGTCCAGAAAAATCTTACCGTTAGAATGTCATAACTCCCTGCTGTAAATTGCTTTCTGGAAGAAACCATGCCAGTTTTAGGGTCAATAAAGAACTTTCCATCATCATTTCCATCCACGATACTGTAGGAGATTTCTGCGTTGGACCCCTCATCTCTATCGAACGCAAAAGCTCTATAAATGGGTTCTCCCCTCTTCTTCCGGTCGCGCTCGGGCAGCTTGATCTGGTAGACTTTCTCTGGGAACTGGGGCTTGTTGTCATTTTCATCCAGAACCTGAACCACCACCCAAATTGTTGACTGTTTTGGAGATGAACCACCATCTGTCACGGTCACCTGAGTTTTGAAAGAGCAAGCATTTTACAATCAAAAAGGAGAAAAATTTTTCTCATCATTCCTCCCCCTGCCCACTCCACAAAACGTCTGTTCTGTGCCTTAGAACACCTCAACTTTTCTCATTCCTGTAGTTCACGTCAAATGCATAACTTTTCATAGTTCATCCATAAAAGCAGGGGAATGCCCAAAATCCAGTAATGGAAATCAATGGTGAAAGGATAGGAGGGAGGTAATCCTCCCGTTGTGGCGTGGAGTGGAGATGGAGAAGAAATAGGACTGACTTCACAAAATGTGCCAGCTTCTATAGACTTAGTGGACCCAAAATATGCACCCCTATCAGACACGAAAAGTACTATAACCATATGTTAAACCATAGGTATTTCTTCCAATCCTTGGACAATATTATCACCATCGAAATTCTTTCAGTATTCATTTTTTCTTTCTTTTCCATCTCCATGGAAAATTTCATTTTTACATTCTCACTGAACAAAAGAAAACTCTGATATATACTTCACAATTTTGATGGCTGGCTGTAAGTACATTTGACAGTTCAAATATGTTTTTAAGTCACAGAATAATTTATTTTCCTCCTGGGAAATGGGGGGGGGGTTGGACACCCCTTCCCATATTTCTGAGATACTATTGTTACGTGTGTCTGTGAAAATTGAAAGAGAGGAGAGAAATGAAGAGCACGTATATAAAGAATTTGCAAGGCAGATATAAAAAGTCTTTGAGTCAGTGTGAATAATCTTCTTCTTGGTCATAATGATGATAATCACTATCATATTAATATTTAATGTGAGGATGCTGTGACAGTTTATAAAGCACTCTTCCATGCATGATCTCACTCACTTTCCAAAACACCCTCTTTAGTAAGAGGAGCATATTTATTTATTCCTATTTTACAGATGAGAAAACCAAAGTTCAGAGGTCCCATTGTTACTAAGTGCTAAAGCCAGGTATTGAATTTTTGGTAATTCTTAATATTCTGTTTACCTAAAAAATCTGGAAGAACCTATATTTAATCCTTAAATCATTACCTTGAATGAGACAGCTTATTACCTCAAAATATATATTCGGAGGCTGGAAGGAACATAAAGATGCTCTCAGCATCGATAGGAGAAAACAACAGTGAATTACAGCACCTGGGCATCCAGTTTTTCACCTAATAAAGCAATCTGACAGGAATAACAGAATAAAAAAAGGCCAAAAATGTGGGAAAATAAATTAAAGGCCTTTTGCAAAATGAAACTGCAAGCTAGTTCAGTTTCTCTTACAAGTTGCCTAGGAGGATGGCTTTAATAGATCTAAGATAAATTTTCATAGGAAGTTCTTGCTTTCTTTGAAAAATCAATCAAGTTTCCTTTCAAGGTTATTTTCCCAATTGGTTTGTTATGTTTCACAAAAGAAACACGTCAGGGCCAATATGTGCCAAGGTTGGATTTTGACTCTTGAGCTAATTCCCGGATACACTGAGTTCTGAAGAGGCACGTTCTGCTGCTGCAGCTGAACTAAAATGTTATACTCCCAGGTGAGCTGTGTTGACCAAAACACATTGATTTCTTGGCTGCTCAACTCCTCTGCCTCTCTTTTCTGCTTGACCAGCCTCTTTCCAAATCCAGACAACTCTCACTGTCTTCACCAGGCACAAAATACCTCCTGATTGCTTGTCAATAAATGCCCAGCAGTGGGCTCCAAGATGGAGTTCTGGTGCTGCTCCAGGGCCAGGTGGCTGCCAAGGAAAGGAGAGACCCTCTTGGCTGAGGTTCACCACTCATTCGAGGGTCCTGCTGCTGTAAACATGCTTTCTTTTGGAGTAGACCTGGAGGTGTCTGCTTACAGGCAGGGAAGGGTGGCAGCTGCCCAGGCTCATGAAGCAGCTCCCAGGTGTGCTATGGGGAGTGGGGTCACCTATGTCACCACCTCACGTCAAGCACCCAGCTCTCTTGCTCACTCAGGCCACTCAGGGAGCCTTAGGTCCTCGAACATACTCTCTTCCATCTTGGGGCTTTTGCACATGCCTTCCTCTCTCCTTGGAGTGCTCTCCCCATCCCTTCTCCTGGATCTTGGCTACTCATTCTTTAGATCCAGCTGAAATGTCATTTCCTCAGGGATGCTTTCTCTGACCTATCAGGCCAAGTGCCAGCTCCCACTCTATCTCCCTCCTGAATTATGTACTCTCAAATAATCCAATATTTTTCTTTCATAACATTTACTGTTGTGAAAATTAATTAAATACATGATTCTCCACCTAAGTGGATATGCTACATAAGGATAACAACAGACTTTGCCTGTTTTCTTCACTGCTCTCACCCCTGTGTCAAGCCACACAGGCAGAACATGCTCCACAAATGCTTATTTAGTGAATTAGACTCTAATTCAGGTCTTACTTGGACAATCTCTTTAGTCAAAGCAGTCTCAGCTTATAAAACCTTTGTAGATCATTCAAGGCCCTTTACAATGTTGTCTCAAGCTGCCTTTTTGCCCATAACCCCTCCATTTCCTTGGTTTCAACTACCACCTTGATGCTGATAATCCCCCAGCGTGTACTCTTGTGCCTGAGCCTCGTTCCGCATCTCCAAACCAACATGTTCAACTAATTACTAGGCATGTACTCTCCGTATCTCTCACATGTACTCAACAACCCAAAATTCACAGACTGAAATCATTACCCTCAAGCTTCTTCCTTTTCCTATTTTCATGGTCTCAATGAATGACACCCCCATCTACTCAGACACAGGTCTGCACCAGAATCCTGGGCATCCATCTAGAGTCCCTGCTCTGTCTATCCACATCCAACTGAAGTTGGAGGCCAGCAGGTACCTCTCATGTATATCTCCTCTGTCACACTGCCCTAGGACAGATCTTGTTGGTATCTTGCTTGCACTGTCACAGTAGCGCCCTGCCTCCCTGCCTCCAGACTTTGCCTTTGCTGTAAAGTCTCATTTCTTCCTCAAAAATCTGATCATGTCATTGACACACATAACGCCCTTTGGGGGCTCCTTGAGGACAAGGATCTGGCTGGCCTTGATTATCACCATGCACTATCCACATTTTTCCTGCCCTCTATGCCCGGTTATACTGTGAGCCTGGGAAGTCTTGATTATGTCATGCTCATACACCTCCATTCCATTGCACAGCTGTTTCTCTCCATGGAATGCCTTCTCTTGGGAACACACTTGACTCATTCTAGAAGCTTCAATTCAAACACTCCTTCTTCTGCAAAGCCATGCCTGCCTCCTGCAGACTGATGAAGGCTCCCTCACCATGCTCCCACTCTGTTGAGTGCGTAGCTCCAGGATACTAATTATCATCCTGTGTTTTTAAGTGTCCGTTTGCTTGTTGATCTCTATTCAATTCTTTCAGACCATGAGCAACCTGAGGTCAGGGATTGTCTCTTATTCATTGTGATGTTCTTGTACCTGGTACAGCTAGGTGCCCAATAAATGTTGTTGAACGAAATTAAGAATTAATTTACCCAAAAATCTTCCCTATGAAAATAAATGGAGAAAACATCCAGATACTAAAAGGTCTCTGTTTCTTCATCCATAAGAAATGAAGAGATTCATAACATAGGATTTCCCAAGTTCTTCTTGCTCTATGATCCTATGAATGGGGGTCAGGTAAAGGTACACACAATTTTAACCATGCACTCTCGGGTTCATGCCCACCTTATGCCCACCTATGCTCACCTGGAACACTGAGAACACTACCAATCCCATGATTGGTAGTAATGATTTCTAGCCACTTCCAAAACTGCTGGTCATTGTGGACACTTATTCACAATCTACTGAAAGGATCTATTTATGTGTTTGGCTCCTTCAGTACATTGTGAGCTACTCATAGGCAGGGACCTTGTCTTTTTCATTTCTTTTCATTGAACCTAGTGTACTCTTGACAAATGTTTGCTGTACTGAACTATGTTGTTGCTGACCTCAAAGTCTTAATTTCCGTTATCATTTTTTAGACCCATTCAGGTGTCTGGCCATTTTTGTACCTGGAATATAAATCATTGATGATTCCATCAGATTCTCAGGGCTCAGCCTATCATGTGGAATTAGCCTATATGCAAGGACTAGCAGCACTGGAGATCGAAGTAAAACTAACTGAGATAAATTCCCGTCCTCTTCTCCTGTGCATCATTTTTTATTAATGATGCAAAGAATTAGATATTGTTTAAAAAATATCCATTTGTCCTCTTGCTCTGCCACAACCTGACAAGAGGACATCAAGCCACCCTAACCTAAATTTTCTATTCTCATAATCAATCAGTAATCAGTGGTTCAGCAATTAATCAAAAGCCTGAAAGATTAATTTCATTAGGTGCGTACAGCTAGCATCTAACGAAAGGAACCACAAACAGTTCAGTCCCGCTGAAAGGATAGTATAACCCATTTCAATATTCTGTGGTGCCCTTGTGGTCTGTGAATACCAGGCAGAGCCAGAGGCAGGCAGCATGGCACAATGGACTATGATGACAAAATTACAAAGAGGAACATGTTTTTAAGTCTATTCCTGGAAGATGTAAGAGGTTTATAGGAACAAAAATGGATGGACATTGGGAATTCTGGAGTTACAGCAGCTGGTGGCAGGTCACACTTCTCACTCAGTGAAATTGCCTAAAGTATTTATTTTTACTGTGTCTCTCTCTCTCCAGTAGAATACGAGTACTATGTAAGCTGCCTGAGAGCTGAGACCTTATGTCTCATCCGCTGCCTAGTCCCCAGTGATTACAAGAGTATCTTAGAATATACTTAATATTTCTAAGATGGAGTTCAATTCTGGTATTCTCCTCAACTATTAATTCATCATAAATGGCTATTTCCAGGATATTATATTTAAAGTTGTAAACCTCTCTTCAAAGATTACATATCCCCCTCCCCTGCTTTATATTTGTCCTTAACAATTTATCATTATCTCTATATACTATATATTTCGCTTGTATGCTTGTTTATTGCATGTTTGTCTCTATTAGAATATGAGTTCCATAAAGCATGAAT